GTTGATTCACCAGTCGATGGTTCCAAGTCATAGAATGATGGTTGATGATCTCCGCCACTTTCAAAGATCTGAAACTATGAGACAAATTAGATATATCCACATCATGAGACAGCCAAGGGTCTGAAGAAGCATCAATATTGGTGGAGATTTTCTTTAACCCTTCTCTTGGTGTATAGTTTTTTATACTTAAAAGTGATGCCCCATGGTTTTTCTTTCTGCCTTTTTAACTATGGGTTGAAATTTGATTAAGTACAGCCCTTTAGTGTATCTACACCCATGAACTCAAAGAAGAGGGAGAAGTCACTTGTGGTTATGTTGTTCCCACTCTGAAGAAGTTGCAATTCCTATCTTCCCAATGATACTTTGGTTAAACTGTTCTGGGAAGCTCAGTACAATTATATTTTCCCCATGTTACTTTTTTCTTCAAAGAATAATATTTTTGCTTTTGCTAAATGGGTTCAGCTAGGCTCTTTGCATAGCTTCTGGCTATGCATGGGTTATATTCCGACATATTACTACAATTTTAACTTGTTCTTTCTGAAAAAAAAAAAGAACAAAAAGACTTACCATCTCCAGTTGTTTAATCACTTTTTTCTTTTATTTTGGTTGCTATCTAATATTTACTGCTTTTTTGTAGCTATTTCCCCACGTGGAGCCTATATGGATTTTGGGCTTTAGGATCAGAATGTTAAACCTATTGGCTCCTTTATTAGGTTGCAGGCATTGGTGGAATTTGCTGAAGGGAGTTTGTCAATTGATATATTTGTATCATAGAATCTTCCCTTTGCTATGTACTTATTATCCATACTCTCTACTCTGAGTACTACTGGTTGCCATCTTTTTATTCATTGTTACATTGTTATGCAGAAAGTTCTGCTTAGAGCCTTTATATAGACCATAACTGCAGAATCAACATATTGAAATGATGCAATTACTTCTGCCAGTTAAGCTGATGATCACTTCCATTATGTGTTTTGTCTATGATTAGCTTTCAATAGTTGTCAATTGCTGTTAATTTTTATAGAAGGTAATAACAATATTTTGTTAAATGACAAAAAGGAAGGTGTGCATCATAGGATGCAGAGGAGTATATAGAGTATGAACTAGAGGTCCATCTTTCAGTAACAAAATACAATCTAAGAAGGGTAGAGTTGTCACTGTACAAAAGTTTCTCTTCTCACAGCCACCTTTGCAAGGCAATAAGAAATACAGTTCACTTCCCTGACAATAGTATATCTATAACTCCATTAAGGTAATGGGCTAGATTCCAAAGTCCTTGCCCCCAGTTACTGTTCTATTTGATGATAGTTGCTGATCCTCATTCGATGGCTTAGAAGAAGCATAATCCATTGGAAATATGGAGCATCAGTAAGGAGGCCAAAATTTCAGCTTTGGTAAAGTTTGCATCACTAATATGGTTTTATAACTTTACTATTACCTCATGTTGTCAAAGCATTGAATAGTTACTGGTCAACTGATTAGTCAGTTAAGGGCCACACTAAGTGCATCATTGACTAGATGTTTGATAGACTTGATACCCATGATGTGGTTGTATAGGAGGACTAAGCACCAACTAGGTAGACTAACAACTACTCTGCATCTCTGCCTAGTTGACCTATTGGGTTGTTGCACACATTGGTTATTTAGAAGTTTTATTCAATTCTGTTTATTTCTAACTATTTATAATATATACATATTGATTTACTCTTTTAGTTGTACTTGTTTGTTATATGCATACCAATTGTTTTAAGCATTTGTAGTGGCATCTTGATATAGGACAGGAAAGAAAAAAGTTGTATCGGGGTTGATTGTGTGGGGAGAAAAGAGAGAAACATGGATCTGGATTATGAGAGGAAGATATTCAGATCTGAATAAGGAAGAGAGAAGAAACAGTGAACTTTTAAAAGAAAATGCCAGATTAAGAAGAAGATCATGCTATTTGCAGAGGTAACTTCAAAAATAAACTATTATTTTATTAATTCATTTATTAAATTCCAATTTTAATGACTATTTATATATTAATTATAATTAAGGGCTTGAATCTCCCTTTATAGACACCAATTTCAACTAGGAAACTGACTCAAAATAAATTATAACCACTTTAAAAGGCAACCCAATAGGTAACCTTTATAGGGACACTCAAATAAAGACTCTAGTTCCTAAAATAACTTTGGCATCACATTAATAAACCAAAAACCATTCCAACAAGACCAAAGAAATAGAAAATCCAAATCCTGTCATCAATTGATATCCTATCACTAAAATGACCATAACTCCCTCAAAACATGTTGGATTTAGAGAATCTTAGTCTCACTGGATACACTACCCAATTAACTACCTAATAGCACCAAAATCTTGCAAAACAGACGAGTTTTGACCCCAGAAAATAGGATAACATGATTGTATCTTCAACTTTCCAAAATGATTAACCCTATATGTCTTGATGAGCTAGAAGATAAATTTAAACTCGAAAACGCTGGGACCTGAACGACCTTGGTTTAAGAATGCAGAATCTTGATTTCTTCATCCATGGAGGAGGAACTTTTTTTAGGTCTTCTTCCAATAACATTGTGCAGGTATGAAGTTTCACAAACAAAGGTGACCACATCAGATATTCATGGTTGCACTCTTCAATTTAGAAACAAAAATCGTTGCATCCTATCAAGAATTCCATTTTATGTTTGTGGATGATACCATAAATGTTTGTTACATTTTTGTATTACATATTTGCAGTCTGTATTGATATGGCCAAACCGTTTTCAAAATACCCTCTTTAAGAAACTAAAAAAGGCCATTATCAAATGCTGGTCCTGGATGTCCAGGGTCTTGGGAGGGGTGGACTGGATAGTGAATACCGACCTAACCTTCAGCATATTTTAAGCATGAATTACCTATATGTTCATTCTTGTCACCTCAAGATCTTACCATCATTAAGAAACTGTGAGATGTTATTCCCTGCTTGTTTTCAGATTGCTCCCTTATAAATTGGATTTCTTGCCTTTCTCTCTATATGTATCATACCTCCTCACATAAAGCTTAATGTTTCATATTTTCCATTTGAAGGCCATGGGAAACAAGTCCCTATGTTAGTATGTAGGTATTCTAAAATTCAAGAACCTTTTAAATGCTTTGTAGCACTCTGAGCTGCTGAAGATCATTGTTTTGGTTTATTGGTATGGTATGATGAATTCTAGTTGGGCATTAATCAATCACAAACATGAAGAGTGCTATTACTTGTTTCTGACTTACCTGAAGGATAAAGTCAATTATGAAAAAGAAAAACCAGGAGATAGTAAGAGCACTTTTATGGCCGCCTGCCTGTTACATTAATACATCTCTCAATAGCTTGTCAACACTCTTCATCTAAACAGATGTGATGCTTTCTCTCTTCTGACAATGTAAATCATAGTCTATGCCAAGATATCTCTAGCAAAAGTTTTTTGTTGAATTAATTGCTCATAAAATTTCAATTATCTGTTTATGTCTGTGATTGCCGCCTTGTCTGCTTGATTATGCATTTCTTTAATGACATTAATTTTGTATCTTGAGCTTGTGAAGTCATGCTTGAGAGTTCAGGATCGTTTTAGAATTATGGATATGGCATTAAATGGAATGGGTTAGCAAAATAGGATTCATGTAGCTGACCACACATATAGTTGGGATAGCAGATAGGATTAGAATTGTTTCTCTGGTTGGTGAAACTAAAACTGAAGCATGAGTTGGCAATGATTAATGTTCTGTTTCACGACTCTTTTAAGCGGAAGTGGAGAATCGTTCTATTTTTCCAAAAAGAGTTGGTGATATACATGGGGCCTCTTTTCCCAGTATGTTCATCATTTCTGTTTCCATCATTGAGCATATTTTATCACCATAGACTTTAATGTGCTTGGAAATGGTAAAAATGTAAAAGACATGCTGGCTGTGATGGATAAGACCTTCTGAAGCACAAAGGACAAAACACTGACTAACTTTTTCTTCTTTAACATGTTCACATCCATTATTTATGGGTAATGTTTGGTGATGATGCATGCCAATCACTTGTTCCTTTCTTGTTTCTTTACAACTGACACACATTGAACCATTGGGGCTGCTACTCTCTCGAGCTTCTGGTGGATAGAAATGCAAGAGTCTGCAAAGGATAACAAACAAGACGCTGTCATCAATCATCATGGTAGGCTAGAGGATGGCATGTGTTGGTGGAAATTTTCTCTCCAGAGACAACCGCACCGCCTGTATAGAAATGGTCAAATGGGAGCCGAGCCACCTAACATTAGAAGACTTTGAGGTTTCTGAGTTGTGCAGAACCTCCAATTTTGATGGATGCTTTAGAGGGGAAATTTTTGGCCATCTAAACTCGACAGCCTGGGCCCAAAAAACATGGGCTTTTCTATTTTTCAGGATGCGTCCTATGTAACCCAAGGCCAGGCACAATTGAACACAATGATATATATATATATATATATACACAATTACACACACATGCATATGTTGTACATAGATCCATGCATACACACATACATATACATGTGCATACATGCTTATATGTAAAATATACAAAATTCTTATCTAAATGTTTAAATTAGTGATACTAAATAGGTTTATGCAACTTCATAGTACATTAGGCTTAACAAGCCCAATTGTGCCCAATTAACCAACCCAAGCCCCACCGTGGCCCAAACCCAACCTGACTATGTCAATTTTCAGTTCGGGTTGGGCCTGCGTTGAAAAGATCAGGCTTGACCTCAGAGCCAGTACAGACTCAGGGTTTAAGCCCAGTTTTTAGGGTTGTTGGGCCAAGGTTGACATTAAACCCGGCCCAGACTGCCTGACTTGCAAGGTGAAAGATGGGAATAAAAACTGGGTGGTAATTGGATGGATGACTTATGCGTCACGTGCTTCGTTGGCCTGCCATATAAGAAGAGGCCAACTTCTGGCTTAATGGATCCCAATGTGGGCCAACAATAACAACAATCCCACTGTGTTGCCCTCAAATTGGAAATTTGGAATTAAATAGAAATTTATAAACCATATCCATAAGATTCTTGTGTCTGTTATTGAATACAAATTTATATTTGTGCAGAAAAGAAGAGGGAGGAACCTTCAAGGGAAGGGAAAAAGTAGAAATACAAAAACCAAAAATCATAAAAAAGAGAAACAGAAAATAGAAGAGATGGAAGTTGTTTGTTTAGGTAGGTAATAGGAATTAGTATGCGAGTAGGGAGCTGCCTTCCTTGATGAGTACAAACACATTGCCACCATCTCCCCTTGCAATACGAAGTTCATTGTCAAGGTACGTGGTTAGCAGCCACGACGACTGTGAATTGGTGTTGGAAGATAGCACCTTCAGTAATAGTTGGCTGGAGATGATTCTCACCACTGACGATGCAGTGTTCTTCACCGATCTTATCGTGGCGTTCAAGGGGCAGAGGCAGAAACCGAGCTTTTGTCTTACAAATTCCACTGTCTCTGGTATCTCCACGGCGTCGGTTAATTGGGGAGAGATGATAGGGCAAAGACGCAGTCTGAGCGTTTGTCCTACAGGTTCCGTAGTCTGGCTAGTGATGGTGATGTTTTCTTCGAACCAGACCTGCATAGAAGCAATAAGAGTTGAAGTGGTTGGACTTGAAATACCTTCATCGATCGCTACATTTCAAGAATTATGTCTTGATGGGTGGAAGGTGTAGGAAATGATATATAGTGGACGATTTATCAATTATATTGTTGTCTAACTTGTAAGTAGTAACTACCAACCTGGATGCGCTTGGGGCTTCGAACCTCAAATTTGGCATTAGTTCTGAAGGAAGTGGTGGACAAGGGACAAATGAACTGGACCTCATTGTTGAGAGTGAAGCTTGATGAATCGATGGTCTGAGATATCTCCTCCACCTTCACCATTGGCAGCTTCCCCCTCGTACACCAACCTGCCAAGGATGTGTACCTACAAGCATCCAAAGGCCAAACCAACAAACAAGAAGTTGGAGCCGAGCTACTTGTGAATTTTATCTTTGCACTCTCAACTTCCATGTCATGTGTTAAAACTTAAAACCAGCAGATAGAAATAGCAGCTACGTTATCCAGTCTGCTTAAATCTTAATGATGGAATGGATGGAATTCGAATCCACTATATATCCGATTCCATTCGATCCGTTTGCAGAGAAAGAGTCAAGGCCTTACGCAACAATCCATTTGCCGTTGAGAAGAGTGAAAGCCTCGGTGGGAGCCGGCGTTGGGTTCAAGGCCTCGAGCTGGCTAATGACCTCGTCGATTTCCGCTCTGGCCTCACTGGACGCCCTCAGTCCTCGATCCGTTCCGATGAAGGAATCAAACAAAAGTTTCTTGAGCATATCAATGTCGCTGGGCTTCTCAGGCCTATCGACCGCCGCAGCTGCCATGCTGATCACGCCCTCACCGATCGGTTCATCCTCCGCCCTTTTGACGGCGTCGCCTACCGCTCGGATCCTGAGAATGGGCCTCACTCGATTATGTTCTCCGATGGCGATGGAGAATGTCGACCTCGTAATCGGCTTCCTGGAAGTAACACCGATCGAATTAACCGGAGAGAACGAGTTCTTGTTGAAACCGAGTAGGCGCTGTGACTGTGTCAGTGAGAGGGTCTTACAGGGGAATGTATTGACAGATGAAGCAGCAGCCATTGATGACTGGTTTTGGAGAAGAAGATGAACTGTACTCTAGTACTGTTGACAAGAGAAAAAGAAAACACCAACTTTTATACCATCACAATTCAGCAAAGTTGATACACATAGGTTTGGTGTGAAGCAAGATCCCAGTCTCTACTCTCTAATTCTCTCTTTCTGTAATTTGCACGACATGGGCCAACACGAAGAGCGTGATCAACTGTCGTCTAAATCGAAAACAGAACCAATGTGAGGATTTGCCCATGCCCATGGGGCCTGGCTGTCTAGGCCAGGGACCCGACCCGATTGTGGGGCCGAATTCCACAAGGGCCAAACTGGAATTCAAGTTTGGCAGTTGGCACCACCACCAAGGAGTCAAGGACCAAAAGGCAAAAGCAAAAATCCCTGACGATGGACTCCTCCATTTGGGTTGCTTTAATGACATGTCACATGCCAGCTCACTCAATTCAATGAATGTCAGCCGGCCCAATTCCAGGTTATCCAAACAAAAGAAATATTACTGTGAGTTGGGGGGGTGCGCAGTGCGCTTGCGTCGTCGAACTCGAACTAGCCTTCCTGGGCTGGGCTGGACTGAATTATTGGGCCTACAAAATAGGATGAGATGGGTCCTTTATTCTTCTACTACTAATTACATGGCGTGGTTATGGTTATGCTATTACATTACATTACATATAAAGTTGTTATTAAGTTCATAAAATATGTGAAGCGTGTATAGTATAGCTTTAAGTCTTTTTAGAGTAATAGAGGCCGCACACGCCATCCTACCCACTGACCACTGTATATAATTAATACAAAAGCAACAATAAAGGTTGAGTACCCTAAACTTGGTTGTCATTTATATAAAAATGAATAAATGAACTTTTCTTGAAGCCCAAGCCGTGCTACATTCTGATGAATGAATAAGAAATTAGTGGTTTCCATTTTCCAAAGGAAACGGATGCTTTAAATATTGCAACCGGACTTAATCCAATTGCAAATTTTTGGCTTTTTCTGCAGACTTTTCAAATCCACAGATACCATGTCCCAAAAGATCTGATTATTACATCTAATTCATTTTTATATGTAAAAATCTGAAGAAACCCTTAATTTAACCTCATCAAGGCACGCAATGCTAAGCTAGATGCTCATCTTGTGATGGAATCGCTTGTTGGTACTGTGTATCATTAAAATGAGTTATTAACACGAAAAATAAGTTTGGGTGCAATAATTTGAGCTGGGTTGGATCGGGTTGAAATCAACCCAACCCCAGCCTGAGGCAAGAATACACAAACCCTAATCCAATGAGCACAAATCCCACTTTTGAATTTGAATTGTAATCCTTACCCAACCCAAGTAATTTCATTTTTATAATTGGCCAATTGGGTTGAATTGATAAATAAATACATCATTTATTTATCATTTAGCCTTAGGTGACAACAAACAATTAATACTAAAAAATTTAGAGAAAAATTGAATTGGAATATAATTAGCGATGGTGATGTAGAGTGGACTGAGTAGTAGAGTGTTGCGTATGGGGGGCAACTTTGTTCCCCGTTCTTTTATGGTGAATCTATGTCTCACGTCACGAGACCTCACCTCATTAGTCCCGAATTCCCGATAGAGCAGACGGAGGACACTTTCCGTCCAAGTTCGTTTTATCCAATGAGGGTGCACCATCTTTACGGTCTGACATAAGTTTAGCTTTGTTTACGTTTGGCAGGTTTACGTTAAAGGATATCACCGTCATTTTCACCTGTAAGATTTTTGGGAGAATTGATGTTATTTTCAGACAGACCATCAAAAGCTTAACGTACTCTTTGAGGAGGGGTGGTCGACCTCCTTGGGTGCCTAACATTGGCACTCCTAAACCAATTTCCCTTGTGGGGCGGCATTGGTTAATAGCTAGCATGGATACCAGGGTTCCTCATGGGGACAGTGCATGGACCGACACTGCGCTACCGACACTCAAGGGAGGCTTGGCATGCGGGCCTGGCTCAAGCATGACCCTTTACCTTGCCAATCCCTTGCCCGAGCTGAATGAGCTATCCCGTTACCCCTAACGCATGGGTGCCCATTATCACCGGCATTACAGGAAACCCATCACATCGGTGCCAAGTCACCTCTTCGGCGCACAGTCGCCTCACTTCATGGCCTTCCCCCTTTAATACGTAAGCGGTGCCTCCCATGGACCAGCTAAAGCCAGCCGAGTGCCCTAGCCATGCGACTTGAGGTCATGATCCAGTGCTACTGACCTTGGTGGAACCATCTCATCGGGCAACTCCTAACCTTGCAACACACAAAGGCTTGTCCTGGCCTACATTGGCCTGGACACCGCACAGGTTTCTTCTGTTCCGCTGTAGAACTACCCCCGTGACACCATGTCAATTCCGTATACGTAGATCGCACATGTCAGACTGATGTGGCATATCACGATTGGAGTGTGCCAGCTGGAAAGTGTCCGCTGCAAAACTGACTACCGAGCAGGGTAGATGGTCAAACTCTTAAAAGAGGTATTTCACTATTTTGTGGTGACGTTGGCGTGGTAAAGCCCAATTATTGGTGTGTAGGCATATTTGTTTGAGCAGGTGATGCCACAAAGTCTTTTGCTGTCAGCTGCGCCAAACAAACCAAGGACTATAAAAGTCTACGGTCTTACCTGCAAAACACACGCTATGCGTGATATTCATATCTCCCTGCAGATTCGTTTTGGATTCAACTTCTCCTGTTCGCTGTCAAAATTTCCACGACCACGTTGGATTTGTATTGGAAACCGTCTGTAAAAGAAGATTCTTGTTCTAACTCCAACTTCGAAAAATAAACCAAAAACAAAAATAAGAGGAAAAAAGAAGCGACGTGGTCGACTTTGATTGGCTGGTGTTGCTTAAGATTACGTCCTGGTCCGGTCCACACTCCACACCACGCCCAAAATAAATTTTGTGACCAGGGTAATTGTATTTTACTGCATAATTTATTATGGGTTCACGTCCAGGCCATCTTGCTAACCCGCACTATTTATTAATTGTAGGGTAAATTCAAGATTAATACCCTCTTGCCTCTTGGGAGTTGGGACTAGTTTTATTTTGGCATCTTCAATCCCGTTTGCCATTATTCCTACGTTTTATGGAGAAATTCCTATATCACAACAGGAATGGAATTTCTGATTTTTGGGGAGTAACAATAATGTTTGGCAATTTGTTCATCATGGAGCAAGTTGTTATTCTAAAGAAATAGATTTAACGTTTGGATATTGGTGTTGTGTGATTTGAGGTATTAATCAGATAGTCTTGTTAACTGGACAAAGTTGAGGTGGAAGAATGAAGCTGAGCATCGAGATCTATAACTAGAAGTCAGAGGCCTAATGAGTTGTTCCCCGGGTAGATACTTCGACACTCAAAGTCAGTAGGGTAGAGGAAGATGTGACTGAGCCGAGCAATTTAAAGTAGAGAAAAGAGGTATTGAAAGAGTGTAGTTCCGGAAAGAGATACCTTACCTCAAGCGGTGAATACATATTTATAGTTTGGTGTCCATGTCTCAAATGGATAAGGTTTCTAGGGATGTCGAGATGAGGGCGTTCATCGAGGTCTTTGGGAGGTTTTCTCTTCCTCAACGGAGTCCGCTTCCTTGTCCGTGCAAGACACTTCTTCTTAGTCGTGCTCTACCAACGTGGTCTGAGAAAGGGGCGACCATGGAGATAGCTACATGGCATCCTTGGCCAGATCAACCATCACCCGAACACCACTCCCCCAGTTCCGAAGTCAAGGAGTGTAGTGCTCGGCCGTTGTTGGACATGGAAGAGTTTTGCGGTCTTTAATTGAGGAACTTTAGTCTTTTTGAGTTGGTTGGCTCGGGGTTTGACCGGTTCGCTAGGCGGGCTGGTTAGTTCAACGCCTGTGCCGTTTCCGTTACAAGTCGACAGGTGCATCATTTCGTCTTCCTAAGGTCACACGCGTGCAAAGTGCAGCATTGAGTCGGCGTCATTGATCTAATTTGATATGAACTGTTGGTTGCCTTCATAAAAAGGGGATAGGCGAGCCATTTTGCTTTGTCATTTGAGAAGAGTTTGCACCTTGGAGTTCGGCTAGCGTCCCTTGGTTGATATCTCAAGTGTCCCAAACTTCTTTTTTCATCAGTAAGATGTCTTCCACCACTGCTTCCTTGTCTTCCCTTTTTACTAGGTATACTTCGAGGGATGAGAGTGAGGGTAGTCCTTGGTGTGAGGCGGCCGAGGTTAGGGTACTGAAGACCGATGCCACTGTGGCCGAGGTTAGTGACAAGGGTAATGTTGAGATTTGAGAGATTAGTGTTGATGACGTAGTCGAGGCCGATGTGGAGTCTAAAGAGCAAGCGCTCAAGGAGACATTTGGGGAGCGTTTGCCTCGACTCCGTATAGCCTTTCTCCAACCAACCTGGCTCGGATCCAGGAAGTGTATCGCATTCTTGAGGAGTACGAACTGAGGTGTCTTAGGATCGGGGAGAGGGCCACTTTAGCCCGTTCCGGGGAGATTTTTGTGTATGTCCATAGTTTGATAGAAAGCCTTAGGTTCCCTTTAGATCCCAGGGTAGTGGGAGATATTTTAAAGTTGTACCTCTCTGCGAGTGATGATGTAGTCAACTTGGTACTGATAAAGGAAGTAGATCGGGTCCAACAACCCATCTACTATGTTAGCAAGGTTTTGCAGGATGTCGAAACAAGGTACTCAGAGATCGAGAAGCTGGCATATGCCCTGGTCACAGCAGCTCGGAAGCTTCGTCCTTACTTCCAAGCCCACACCGTCGTCGTCCTCACCAACAAACCTCTGAGGCAAATCCTACTCAAGCTCGAGGTGTCTGGCAGACTAACAAAATGGGCCATTGAACTCAGCGGGTACGACATCTGGTATGAACCTCGGACGGCGATTAAGGCCCAAGCCTTAGCTGACTTTATTGCAGAATGTACCTTCGCCACCGCAGTCCCTGAACTGACTGAGCTCGGGCACGTGGAGGAAGCTTCAACCAGCACGGCACCAATCCCGGTCCGAGCAAGTCTGACCTGGGACGAGGAGCCCTGGATCCTCCACGTTGACAGCTCATCCAATCAACAAGGAAGTAAGGCAGTCATTATTCTGTACGGTCCAAGCGGGGTGAAGCTGGAGTACGCACTTCGGTTCGAGTTCGCAGTGTCTAACAATGAAGCAGAATACGA